GGCGCCGCGTTAGGGAGCGCGCGCGCGGGGCGGCCCCGGGCCCCCCTGTGCAGCCCCGGGCCTCCCTGCCTGCCGTGGAGCAAAGARCCGAGCGCCGAGTTGCTGCAGCGCAGCGGCTGCGGCCGCGCTGCAGGGCTGCACGCTCCGCAGCTCCAGCAGGTTGCGTGACACTGGCGGCAGCCCCACGGCTCGCGCGGCACCCGCGGGAGCCCCGCGCAGCCCTCTCGGAGCGGTAGACACCTGGGAGCTGTGGTTACCCCAGGAAAACGAGCTCTGAGCATTAATTGCACTGCCAGACAGTTGCATGTGGGAAGGATTCTCTGCAATGGGGAATCGCAGGAGGATTTTTGTGAGCAACTAGCTCAAGCATCCGGAGGCCAGAGCTCCATAGGCAGGCTTTAATTCACCCGGCACCGCTTGGAAGGGGAATAGTGCTGAACACGGAGTGCCCAGCAGGCCCTTGGAATGCACTGGTGCCTTCAGGGCCGCCTTCTCCAGCTCCTTCCAGGTTTCTAGTCTTAACTACGAGAAACAAAGTGAAGGTGCAAGGCAGCCTGGGAGCAAGTAAATGGGGAAGAAYTGTGTTTCTGGAGAGGGAGAACTGTGCACTCCAAGGAAGCAGACTTCACAAAGTGTCAGTTTGGGGAGGTGGTATCTGTTAGAAAACAAGGAAAGGGGGGAGATGTTCGGGGAGTTGCCAGTTCCTTATTGGAATTAGAGTAATGGCACATCTGCAGACCATCCCCATGCAGAAGCAGATAGAAGAATAGCATGAGATCAGCTTGGTCATCTAAACACAATAAGGAGCATGCACAGAAAGTATAAATCAGGCCAGTTACTAATACCGAGTATGAAAGAATAGCGTGAGTGTGGAGGGACAAAGCTGGGGAGACCAAAGCACCKAGGGACATGCAGCTGGCGAGTGGTATTTTCTGGTTATCTTTTATACCAACAAGTATGTGCGTAAATAATGGGGAGAAATACAAGTGGAGAGTGGTGCTACGCTGCAAGAAGCAACACACCCAGCTGAAATGAAAATGATCTTAAAGAACTGGAGAGGCGGCCTGAAGAAAGCGGGATGCTCATCCCACGCGGGTGAGGAGCGAGTGCCCGGGCACAGCACAGGGCAATCCCTGCTCTGCGCGACGCGGGTGCCACGTGGGGCTCCAGATACAAACGTCGGGGCTTTACGGGGCTGCTTTGGGGTCAGAGAGGATCACAGGTTTGGAAAACACGCCTTGGGCAGCGACCTGGAACCATTCATCTCTCTGGAAGATACCAGAAGATACCAAAATGTGACAGTAGCCGATGCCAACGATCACAGAACCATAGAATGGTTGAGGTTGGAAGGGACCTCTAGGGATCATCTAGTCCAAACCCCTGCTCCAGCCGGGACACCCAGAGCACAGGGCACCCAGTCGCATCCAGGCAGGTTTTGAAGACCTCCAGAGAAGGAGACTCYACAACCTCTCTTGGCAGCCTGTGCCAGGGCTCTGGCACCCTCACTAWCAAGGATTTTTCCTTAAGTTCCCGCAGAACTTTTGGTGCTCCAGTTTGTGGCCRTTTCCTCTAGTCCTCTCCCTGGCCACCCCGTCCTCCTCCCTCGATGCCCCCAGCCRTGCCGTGGCTCCGTGCTTGCCCAGGGACGAGCAGCGTGAGCCCGGCCGCGCTCACCTGCTGCGCTCTGCTTGTCCGGAGCCGTCGGGGCCGCACTCACGGGCTGCGAGGTCCCCTCCAGCGCTGCGTTCCTGCGCCTAATCCTGCGGGCAGRGTAGGTTTCCCATTAGGAAGGACAGCCAAGACCTGCAATCCCCAGCCTGGCAATTTGGGGGGGCTTCATCACCGAGTACTTCATAGACATCTACAGAGAATATTGCACTTGCTGTTGATCTGCCTTTGGATGGGAGCATGGAGCAGACCTCTGGATGGAGGGACCTCTTTGTAATCCTTTCTAGCCCTGTTTTTCTACAATAGATTTTTTTTCCCCCTCTACAAGTTATGTGTTATAGTCATGGGATTATATGAGAATCTCTGTTTTCATTTAAGAAAAAAATGTTTCCCTAATATTTATGAAGAAAAAACTGGAAGCATTAACCCATACTAACCGTAACAAGCAAAAAAGGCAAAGTGAATAAACCCTCTTTATATAAAAAATCCTGTAATTAGTTTAGGTTGGGCTTTAATTATTCAAAAGCTTAGGGTTGCCACTGTTTTTCAAGATGAAGATCCAAATTACTTCAAGGCAATCACACATTGTCCTACGCAGACCTGCAATAGCCCAGACGTATTTTTAAGACTCATTTATGTTGTTTTACAGACGATGTTTAGAGGTCAAATAAGCTCAAGTAAGTCCCTGCAATACCTCCCTACTCTGAACAAAGGCCAAGGCCTCGATCCCAAGCTGTGTGAGCGGGTCCCAACAGCTATTCCTATTCTGAGCTGCTCRTAGAAAGTGAATTTACCATTTCTGCTGGGATTTCATTAGAGACTATTTGCAAACCGCTCAAAACACAGCACTAGGGACTCCTATGGCAGATGAGTGGGCAGTATCCCACCTTTTAACTTCCTTAAATACTTAAAACATGTGAGMGGTGCTCACGCGTTCAGCACGTGCCTCAGTCAGGCCTCACAGCTGAAATCTTTTACTGGTCCTCCAGTTCTTAATGGTCGTTTCTCTCCTGCTAAGCGCTGCTACAAGCCTTAGGCCTGGCACAAGCTGCAGGGCTTCCCCTTGCAAAGCAGGTGTTTTCTTTCTGAGCCATTAATGCTCCTTCTCCACAGTAAAAAGCAAGTTTCATCTCTTTTTACTAGGTCATCCCTGATAAAATTTGTGACATGAACGAAGAACCGCAAAGGTTTAAGTGAAATTTCAGGTTTAAGAAACTTCCAGGAGAGATAGAAGAAAGAAGACAGAAAAACCTGCCCCAAAATGGATGTGTTAGTCCAATACAGAGATTCTGAATACTTGGGATTAGCAGATGAGAGGCAAGGTCCGTGGTGGCAAACAAACAGCAGCTCCTGTTAATGCCACCTTGTGACTACTCGCTTCCCAAGGCCGGGCCGCCCCCTCCCAAATTCTGCTGGAGTTTATTGGGCCCAGCTGCCCCTGCTTTTCTTCCTTGAACAATGGAGAGAAATCTAGGAAAAAAGGAAGCATTCCAAAAGCAAGGGCATTGTTCCTTCCAGTTGGTGCAGCGTGACACAAAGTCCTCTGCAGGACGGGAAAAAGGGAGGAGGAAAGCACGGAGAGGAGGGCGCTAATTCCCGGGACCTGTTCTCCCTGCTTCCCACCCTGCTGTTATTTCCAGTTTTAATGGAGCCGCACTGGCCTGGAAGGGGGAAGGAGAACCTGCTAGTGCAGTTTGGGGGCGGTTTAGAAGCTCTCCCTTTCCTTTGCAAGGGGGAAAACCTCTCAGCATAACACAGGGCCCATTAGTGGCAGCTCCAGTGCAAGTTCCAGGAATATTTAACAGATTAGTAAATCTCTTAGAAGGATGTTGTAAATAAGATTTTAGCCCATTTCCCATTTACATTTTGGCAACAGCTGTAATATTTGCAGCAGCAATAGAGTAGATTTTAACATGTGTGACCTAAAAGCTTTGGAATTCATGACTTTCCTTTGAGGAAAGCTCCACTAAATTGCACTAAAACCATTTCTTTTACTCTCAGTGATGTTAGCAACAAAATCAATGCAATAAAGTCTCCTGAAACCTGAAGTCATAGCATACGGAGAGTGCGTCCTCAGATACGTTAGTAAGTGCTTAGGATAAAGGATCCTGAGTTTTATAAAGCCTCCATATATCACTGCAATCATAATTATCTTTCTTCAGAAAGAGCTGAGATATTATAAAACATCTGGTTTATTTAATATTGTATTTTCAATAGCTAGGAGTTCTGCCTAAGCAGTAAAAAGTTATTTGTATCCGACTGCTTTCGGGGGTGCCTGCTTTGGATATTCACATTATAGGAGCAGCAAGAATGSAGAAACTGCCCTCCGTGCCAGCCACGTCCAGGATTCTCCTAAGATTTTCCATCTCTCAAGGTATCAGCATCCATCTTTGTCTGCTTGTCTGTCCACTCGGTGCATCCACAGAGCTGACATTTCGAGTGACACCTGGAGGACTCTTCTGTCCTTTCCTTGCTCTCTCCCACACCGGGATCGTCTCATTCCTGCCCCTGGCACCGGGCAGTGTTCCAGGGACCCYGCGTGCGCAGGGTCTTGGGCGGCAGCCTTGATTTCTTCCCGCAAGAACCAAAGCAAGGACAAAGCACCGTGACCTCGCTAAGGGGGAGGAGAAGCAGCAACTAGCACACAGTTACTGACAGCTCCTCTTCTTTAATGTGCAATAATARTATTTTTTAAAAAGTTAGCTGTTCTCATGTCCTTTTCCAGGGAGAAAAAAAACAAAATAAATCAGTGCTTCCCACTGTCACATGCGCCTTCCGCTGCAATGTTGCCTTTAAAAACTGGTAGCAAGTTGAAATCTTAGGCACAGACAAGCCTTGCTTTGCTTCTTGTTTTAAAGGAAGATGGAGAGCTAATTGCTTGGCCAGATTTGCTGTTTTATTTCATTATGAAGTATAGAACAAGGAAACTTGCCCAAAGAATGCTAAGTTGAGCCTAAACACAGCTTCTTCTAGAAAGGGTAACTAGGATATTACTCTTAGTTCTGTTGTATGTTTATTTATATGTTATTTGGTGATAATGAAAAACAAATGTTAGGAACCTATTCAGTTCTTAAACTTTTATAGAGTTATTGTCTTTATTTTCAACTGTGCAGCCGCCTCTCAGCCTCCCCCTCGCTCGGCCACGGGGAGCGGCAGCGAGCGAGCCGCCGTCAGCTGTTCCCTTAGTCATCCTGGCTCCCGGGACGATATTCCACACGGCTTACACAAGGCCCGGCTCCCGCGGCCCCCGGGCACCCCCCTGCGCCCCGCGCCTCGCTCGCGGGGCCCTGYGGACGATTCCGCCAAGTTGTTGTCCTCAAGCGCCCGTGTCGGGGCTCTGCGTTGCAAAGAGAACCAGAGGATAATCCTGGGCTCAACAGGAGTACCTGCAACATGGAAGCAAAGAAAAAACAGAGGACAATCCTGGAGATGGGAGCAGGGCCCCAAGCGGCGCTTGGCTACCAGCCTGCAAGACGTCCCTGCCCAGCGCCCATCACCGCTGCCACCGCAGAGGGACCCGGCTTTCACCCCGATCCCAGCTCTCCCGGCCACAGAGCGCATGCCAATCCCGGTGCCCTCGGCGTGGCTTCCTCCACAGCACAAAGGCCTCCCGGGCACCGCACCGAGAGCCTCTGCTCCCGCGGCGCGAGCAGGACGCTCCCCAGCAGCCCCTTCCCACCTAAAACAAGCAGGACCCCCTCGGAGCGGCGCCACGTGGCTCGTCCTGGGCTCAAACGGGGGCCCCGCTCCATCTGCAAATGATCTTGGTCATCTGATATTTGTCTCTTAATGCATGGCACTAATTACCTTTTTGGAGAGGCAATCTTGACTACATTACTAACCACAGGATTTAAATCTCTGCAGCAAGAGGCACAATGGAAAGGCACATACTGCAAACCCGAGGCCAGGGGGATTCCAGGACATCTCCTGTCAGGTTTCTGGGTGACCAAAGGAAAGGTACGGTGGTCACGAGACCTAGATAACAACCTGCTCTGCGTGGACAAAACTAGAGAAGATGCAGGCATGCGTTAAGGGACTCCATTTGAAATGGCAGAAGCTCCGTGTCCACAAGACGCTGCACCTGGAAAGAAAGCCACGCATCCTTCCTCAGGGTCCGCAGGTCCTACAAGTCCATGAAGACAACAGCTGCTCTGGGTGTTTCCTCCTGGAAGGCAGTAGCTCGGGTTGGTTGCGGGTCTCTCACAAATCCCCATCTCCTCCTCRTTAAGCCCTTTTTACAGGGCGGCAGCCCTGAGGATCGCTGGCCACAGCCTCGCACACGACCAACGTGCACAAAACCGTGTCCAGCTACGCGCTGGGCGCTCCGCAGAGGGAAGTGCCGCGGGCTCCGGTCTCTCTCTTGCTGCCCAGTGAGACCATCGCGTCAGGCCTTCCTAGCACCAGCTCCGTTAGAAATCACCTCTGGAGCCGCCAGCAGCGGGGGCCTGTGACGAGGTGACATCTCGGCCTTGCCCAGACACGCTGCCCTCCTCCCATGTGCCTCCCACCACCCAGGTAAGCGCAGACACGATGCACGGGGACGGGCAACGAGCAGCACGTCCTCGCACCCAGCGCACACACAACTCGAGTCTGTGCCAGCTGCACGAGCAGGACGGCTTGTGCAAAGGGCAGCTCTCGGCTCAGCCCTTGCTCCCAGCTCCAGCCCTGCCCGTCACTGCACACGCAGGGCACAAATGCAGCAACGTGGTGCAGCAAAGCACTCCCTGCTCCCAGCCCGGAGCAGCAGCCCCTCTCCTTGCCCCACAGAACAGGCCTGCAGAGGTGCCAAAGCAGACACAGACTGTGCGAGCGGCTCYGCTTTTAATTAATGCAACTAATGGCTGTTGGAGCCAGGCACCAAGTGGTCCTGCGTAGCTCTGGCCAGAAAGTCAGCAATGGTCAGGAACAGTGGGGAGATAGACCCGCTTCCCACGGGCAGAGCCGGCCAGCCACGTGGCGGCTCTGCTCGCTGCTGAAGAGACTCACGCGAGGGCCACACTCCCACTCACAGGCATCTGTTAAACCAGGGCAAGCCCAGGGCGAACGACTGAAGCCCTGGTTTTGAAGAGGGTAAACTAAGGCATTTACATCAAAGCAAGTGCAATCATCAGGAAGACATATGGAACTGTCTTTCTTTCCTCTTCATTTCTTAGTTATTGGAACCTGCTTACCTAAGGCCTTGATCTGGCTAAGGAGACTTCCACATAAGGGCCCGAGTTTCCAGGTTGAATAGGACTGCAGTGATTTGCAGCCTCTGGACTCTTAACATTATGTGACAGCAATAACCAAAGGATGGAAGAGCTGAGTGGTTGCTCTTAGATGCATCCCAGCAGTGGAAGATTTGAGCAAGGAGAAAGATCACAAGGCTCAGACGTAATATCCTAGCGCAACACAGTCCTAAACCAGCAATTTCCTTTTTGGACTTCACATCGGATCAAGGCTTGATAAAACACACCATTTGGAATATTAGCTAGAGGATTTGGAAAGAGGCAGTAGCCATTTATTATGGTATGGAATGGTAATAATTATATTGCTTATAACAAGGGCATATTTCAAACAGCCAACAGGTACAGCTCTAATGAGTGCTGTTTGCCTTCATCTGTTTTATTACAGGTTCAGCAGTCATGCTTCCATGAGCTCGGGATTTCCAGCATTGTGGAATGCCATGTTTCAAGACAGAACTAGCCAACATACACATGTGTTTCATCTCAGAATAAAAAAARGCTTGAAAAATGGCAAACCATGTAATTTTTGAAATGAGTAATTCATTTGTGATTTTAAAGAACATACTCTTRTATGTGAAGGCCAGTTTCTCTGGCTCAACTGGATGAAGACATCTGCTTTATTTCAAAGAGATCTGAAGAGGTAAAACTTGARAGTTCTTTGTTGAACTCTTTGCTATCTCTTTTGTGCATCTCAATTACATTTATTGATATACAATGTTGACATTTTTGTAATACTTCTAACTCTCATAACCTTCTGTTTCAAATTCACAGTCTTCCACCACTTAAGCTATTATTATTTTTACCAGTCCCAAGGGTRTGCTAGAGTCTTTTTGGTACAAATTAGAAAGGCTTTCATGAAAAACTTACAGTTTATGTAAAAGAGGTTCTCTTTGGCACCCTGACTCCCACCATCACTAATGCCAGCTCTGTAACAGTGTTGGTGTCAACTCACCCCAAATGGGTCAACACGACATCTGGAATTTTAGCACTAATGTTGGACATGTTCACAACTAGACTCGGAGGAGCTAAAATGGTGTTAGAAACAGTAGCAATTTTCCCCAAGAGAAAAAAACCCAAATGTTGACAGACTGATGAATATAAATATGTCGGGGAATATTCTGACAGCAAAGCTCTCCTCTGCGAGTCGGCTGCAGAGATACCTGCAGCTTTACCACAGACTGGATGCCAACCAGGGTTTWGCAATAGCAAAAGGAGAAATGCTTTGGGGAAGACAACATGCTAACTGGTCATGGAGGGAATAAACACTGTGGTAGAAGTGATCCTTGGGAACCACTTGGTTCAGGTCTCTTGATTTTCACACTAAGATGAGGAAGTCTGATCTCATTCAACATCCCCCCAGCTTCCTCAGATCTGAGAGCGCCCTTGAGATCTTCGCTAGCCCTTAACACCTCCCTCTTTGAAGGGAACATGTTGGTATGTATGAGAAGACCTGCTTGTCTCCTGCACACTCTTCCCCAGAGGAYAGTGCCCAAGGGCAGTGCGAGCACCAGGCCCTGAAGGAGCTCATGGAGCACCCTGGCTCTGCAGGGGCGTCCGGCTGCACTGCTGCCCTTCCAACACACCAGATTCCCCCCGGGATCTCGCTGTGGGACCTCTCACCTTSACCACATGACGACCTCTCTGCTCCCGCTGGGGGCAACTCTTCCCGGTACCAATTTCTCAACAGGAGTGAAGGTATCTGCAAGAGACAGGAGGAGGAAACTGATCTCAGAGTTTGTCRTTGGGCTTGGCCTGCAAGGGGAGAGACCTCTTGGTGTCCAAGATTTGGGAAGGAATAAAAATCCTGTGGATCACCTGTAAAAATATCCAAATTGTTGGACAGGTAACAAAACTGGACTAAAAATAGCTAACATCTAAGCACATCACACTTCCACTTCTATTTGCTCTTGAGGGCAATGGGAGGAGGACTGTGCCAGTCCTACCCGCACTCAGACCACAACACCCAGCCTAACCCAATCTGTTCTCCTCTGCCGTTACTTAAAGACCAATCTCCAGGTTGCAACCACATTTCCAGATAATCATTCATGCAAAAAGGGGGCTGTTCTTCTGGGGCCTCAGTTCAACACAGTTAAAGCAGTTGTTTTTAGCAGAGGAAACCTGTCAGCATGACCTAGATCTTCCTCCGTTGCCCAAACGCATCCAACAGGATGACCGGCCACCRCGTGGTGCTGCGGATGGATCCACAGTGGCCAGGGAGGGAGGAGAAGTTCCACACACCCCATCAAGCCACATCCGTCCAGGCAGCCTCTGCTCTGCTGCGGCAAAGGGGCTGCTAACGAAGAATAAACAGCAAGCTCTTACTTAACACAAACTTTAGACAAAAAGAGGAGAACAAAGGAATCCTCCAGGCCAAAACTGTGGAAAATGACCATCATTAATAACCTCTTCAACTCAAACTTCATGACTTTCATCTGTTTTCTGAGGAGACAATGGATTAATGTGGTTACAAGGCCCACATATCTCCAGGGGTACCTGCCTGGCCGGAGCAAGCCGGACACAAAATCCAGACCTGGAAGCACCTTTGGGCGCCCAGGCATGGATCACACAGCCCAAAACGACGTCGCTGTCCTGAGGAGCAGCACGGGGAGCAATSGGGCCCCGCTCCTCGCCAGGGCTCTTGGTCCTTCCCAGCCGCGGTGCCAGGAAGCCCTCAGGTACCCGCTGAGCTGCTCTAGGGCTCTCTAGTTTTTTGGGTGCCTAATTAAACTAATTGCATGATTTTTACAAGCACAAAAGCTGCACATTTTACTTTTTTTAATATAAGACAGACCTGTGTGCAATCTATTCAAATCAACAAACAAATCACGGGAGCTCCTAATTCCCAGCACCTCCCAACAGGCAAGGCCTGAGCTCAGGACCCTCCACGACAAGGCGGCTCTTTAGGACAGGGTTTAACAGCAGAGGTGCCGACGGGTTTACGGTTGGACCTGAGGGCCTTCCAGGTCTTTTCCAGCCACAATGATCCTGTGATTCCAGGTTCCACAGAAGCCCTTCTCTTATGCGGGGCTTTTGGAAGCCTGAGGTTTGACCCAGGGCCCGCAGCAACCCTCGTTCTTCTCCCTGGGATGCAGCGCTTCCCGTGATCCTTACGGCAAAAATAAATACATATAATTCTCCTAAGCTGTCCAGTTTTTATGGAGCCATAATAGGAGTTTAGGGTCAAGAGGTTTCCCCCTCACCCCTTCCAGCGTCGCCGGCCACACGTTTCACACCTTGCCGCGCACAAAACGGGCTCCAAAGCGCTGTTTCCACGCGCATTTTAACGCCGTTCCCCGCCGCGGCCCGGCAGCGATGGCGGCCGAGCCGGGCCGGGCCAGGCCGGGCCGGGCGGGCCCCGCGCGCCGCCGCCGCCGCGGGGACGAGGCCGCCCCCTGGCGGGGAGCGCGGGCACGAGGGCACCTCCGGACCCAGCTGCCCCCCGCAACGCTGCCCCCTTCTTCCAGGGGCACAAACACGAGTTTCTCCCTTCAGAAAGCCACATTATTATTATTACTACTACTATTACCGTTTTTAACGCACGCAGCCGCAGACCAGGGCTGCTCTTGCAGCCGCTAAGGCCGCTCCTGGCATTTCCTCCGATGACCAGTTCATTGCAGGCTCGGGAGCAAAGGGGCTGCCCCCAGGCCAGGCCTCCATGCTCCCCCTCGSCCCGCAGCCCCCTCAATCCTCCCCCCAGTCCCCGACAGGAGCTGCTGGGATGCCTGGAGCAGCCAGATTCCCCCCAGCCCCAGGAATAGTGACGTTTCTGAGGCCTCAGGGACATTCAATGGGGCTGCCCTGCTGCCAGCGCCCCGCTGGGAGGAAATGGTCCCAAAGGCGCATCCCGAGGAACCTCGGTCCCGGTGCGCGGCCAGCACGATGAGCACCACGAGGGCAGGTCCCCCGCACAGGGCTCAGCCAAGGG